CTTATGTAAATGATTGTCTCTTGTCTTACAGGAGATCCCAGGGACAGACCCTCGTGAGCGAACTTAGTGAGAGAACTTAGACACAATTCTAGACAATTATCTTACGGTTTTTGGAGTTTCTCATTTTTTTTGCGGTAAATTGACACGTACGACAGACACATGGAATACCAAGTACACTTTTGAGGTGTAAGTAAATAAGTAAATGTGTAAAATAAGTAAATATAAAGAATATGGACCTTGGTATTTCTCCATAGTTTTGGGCTAAGTATAAGGTATAAATATAGGTTAAATAAACTTAGGAATGAGGTAAAAAAAAGTTAGTTAATTTGAATTTCATAATATTATCTTACCTGTTTTTAATAGTAAAAACATAAGCATTTTGAGTGGATATATTTTATTTTATGAAATTAGTCATTAGAATAAAACGCGGGTACAATTAGCATATGCATACACATACACACACACATACACATACATACACATTTTGTATTCCAGCAATTAATGGATATCCCATTCCCTTATTATCGTGGCCAGGTTTACACGTTTGAGCATAAATGTCTACGAATTTTATTGCTCGTTTGTTTTTCGTTTTTTGCCCATTAATCTCTCAGTCTGTTAATTTCATATTAAAATTACCCAATACCAATAATCCCTTTCTTTCTTGAGCAGAATATGCACCAGTTACGTGGTACTCAGATCTCATCAAATAACCAAAAATATGCTACTAAATGGGTCCCGGACCTAAAACACAAGAGATATAAGGAGAGACTGGAGGCGTTAGATATGCCAGAAGTTCTTGTGTTATAACATGATCAGTACGTATAAAGTTTTAACAGGAATTGAGCAAGCTGAAGGAAGGGTTAAATCTGCGGCATGGACAAGAGTGGCTAGATAACGCTCAGCAGTTTTCTAGCTGTATCTAGCTAGAAAAGCTCTAGCTTTTCTCAGTTTTCAAGCTCTGTCGACTGGGCTACGAGCAGTCTCAGCGTGTGAGCGGCCTCACACGCATGAGGGGTCCAGGGTTCGAGACCCACACAGCCCAGGTGAATGGAATATATATTTCCTCAGAAGAGTGGATGACAATTTTGAATATCCTGAAACTTTACCTCTTGATATTAAATGTTCAAAGCAGTGTCTACGTGGAAGGGAAGGAAACTGTCTGAAGAAAGCGCTAAGCCATAACGACTATATAGCACTTTGAAGGAATCAGGATAAGGATTTGGGATGGGACGGGGAGAAAATAATGGTGCCCAACCACTTATGGACATCGGGGATTGAACGCCGACCTGCATGAAGCGAGACCGTCGCTCCACCGTCCAGCCCAAGTGGCTGGTTGCCTACATGGAATATATATACTACTGTCTGTGCTCGTATATATTTATTATCTTCGTGGATGCTTAAGTGTGATTTAGCGAAACGCGTTTTAAAACGATAAATGTTAGACCCATTAAAAGTGTAAACATATAATTAGGAAAGTTATTTTTTTAACTTCCTTCACAAGTATAGAAATATATCAGAATATAGAGTAAATTCGTGCTAGAATCATTGATCTATTTTGTTTCATAATTTTGAATATCTGTCTTCAAGAACGACTGCATCCAAAATATACTTATAAATATATTATATCCCTAATACAGAAATGTTTAACCCAGTAATGTTGATAAGAAATATTTATAATTATTATTTTCATCATCATTTATAATAATTTATTTATTAAACAACTAATTATGAGCGAAAGCGTAAGTTTAAAATTCACCTCGGTGTAAAATATTGACACTGAAGAGAGGTAGAAGTTGTAACAGCAGGAGAAAGTCTACAGTTACTCTCTTACACAAGAGTAACCCGTTATATTTGGTCTCCCTTCTATAAAAACCAAATGTCAACAGTATCCTTCTATTTGTTAACCCTGAACGGAATGTATAGCTTTTCATTTAACAAATCGGATTTATTGTAGCATTAAGAATAAGCTGTCGAGACTGCTCCTGGTTGTAGGCTTTTTATTACGTAAATTAAGATTAATTTGTGAAGTACAATACCTTCATGTGATACTTTATGTAGGCAGAATGGCCCATTCTACCATTCTACCGTTGAATGACCAAATGATCATTCTACCAATGACCATTTGGGCCAGGCCAGAATGGGAGAATGGCTAGGGGGTAGAAATAGCCTAAGCTACTCTATCCCGTTGAGATGTATTGTATGGTGTCAATAAACGTACTTGAACTTGAACTTTGAACGGTATTTTACTGTGCGCCCCATACTCAACCTGTGAGAAGTAGTGCACAAGGATATCAAAGTTGTTTACCAGACCCAGTTTATGTTGGAAGCTATTAGTTTTATTAATTAATATGCACATCTTGTGTTCATTATACTATCTAACAACATAAGCGATACAGTGTAAGCAATATTGTTTGTGACAGCATAATAGGGCTTGCATTGTAGCTCACATATGACATTATATTGCCCAATATAGCTAAGCCATATCAGTAATTCTTAACACAATTTTCGACACTGGATATTATAAGGAATTCCGAGTGTTGTTTGTGATTTTAATCTCATACTTTCATCATATTTTCTTGCTATTTTACCAGAAACCAAATCTGGATATAATTCGAGAATTTCATATATTTTTTCATTATTTTTAAATGATTTGCTCCTTCACGCTAAGTGTCGATCTCTCTGTAATTGGTTCAGTGCTCACATAGTGTGTAAAGTGTCTTTGGCCCCGCACTTTACATGACATATAGATCATCATACAGCTTCCAGAGATGCTTGTAGCCAAGTCGTGTTTCGAGTTGTGACAACCTGTCAGTCTACTGATTTTCTTACTTGACCCATAAAATGTATATTATTTGACCCATTTTATTATGATAGACAATGGAGTTGTTAGTTCTAATTTGCTCACTTCTGCTTTCTTTTTAGTTTTCATATGAGAGGTTCTCCCTAATGGCACTTTATAGGCTTTTATTTGGCAATTCAAGAATATGTTCAACATTGTCTTTATTTACTGCAAGCTCGGCAATGGCATTAGCTGTGTCATGCTCTTGCGATTCAATGTGTGAGGGAATCCACCGCCTTTGGCCCCTTAATTATGCATATATGTTGACAGAAAGTCACAATATTGTGGCTGAAAATTAGACGACTAACCCACACATCTGAAAATGAAGAAAGTGACGACGTTTCGGTCCGTCCACGACTTGATAGTGATCCTGGACGGAGCGAAACGTTGTTCCATCCTTTTTTCAGATGTGTGGGTTGGGTGTCTAGGTACACGTGCTTAACATCAAATTACATTGCAATTGGAAGGAAGAAAGGCATTATCAGGAGAAGCGCCAAACCATTATGACTGTATAACACTGAGAAGGGATCAGGATAAGGATTTGGGATTGGACGGGGGGATTGTAAGCTGTTTTACAGCAAGTAATGATGAGAGGGAGTCACAGATAATTCAGTTGTGTATTTGTGATACAAGTCGCTGCTGGCGAAGACCTTCGTTTCCACTTCTTTCCCCGCGAGCGTTAGTAACCGGGTCATATAAGACCCTACTGACGAAGACCTTTGTTTCGTACCTACTTCAGCGTGACAGCGTGACGAAGACGACCCCCAGAAGAGTTTTCTATTGCGCTTTCTCTTATAAACGAAGTGACCGTCATCCACAACTAGTTTCTCTAAGCAAGAATGACCTACTATGCTTATTTTGGGCCTCGACATTGTTTAACCTTCAAACCGCCGCGGCCCTAAACCTTGTGGACTGAGCACTTGTTTGCTAAAGCGCCTCATATCTCCCCATCACTGAAGTTTTGAAGCTATGGACTTTCTATAGCAGAAAACAAAAAAATTTTCTAATGCACTCTGATTTTTAGTGTAGAGATCAAACGATCTTCTTTGTTGAATTTCAGTACTAAACAAACAGCAAAATATTCCAGAATTAATCTTCACATCTTTCATTAATCGCTTCCGGTAAATCCAATTGTTCATATAAAAAAGCATCTATAGGGAATGTAAGATTTCTTAGCTGCACGCCTCGCTGTAATATCCGGCGGAAGGCTTATCAGGGCCTCGTCTGTTGACTGTCGAACCATACATCCTGCCGGGGAACCTAACCAAGTTTACGAAGGATTAATGAGGCTCGGTTCCTGAGCTCATTATGTACCTCTATAACCTTTTTCCAATACTATTTACAGGCAAGGTATTCGGTCTACTACCGCTCACTTTACGGATATGACCTCCACTGCCGCTCATAGGCTGGACCACTCACAGGATGGGAATGGGGTGCGTAGTAATTGAACTAAAACTGAGCTAAGTGGACCCTGGTGTGTAACCAAGGTCAGAGAAGATGGCCGGGCTTTTCTATCACTTCGTTAGCAGATACTTATTCTCGATCGGGTTGGGGAGTTTGGGGAATTGTGGCAGGAGAGTACCAGTGAGGGCAATATGAAGCCGGTACCAGTTGTGAGGGTACAGTACAAGGGCAAATCCTCATCAAGTCATTAGTGGTACTCGAGGATTTGGTTGGTCATATCATTAGGAATTTTAAGGTGATAAGATCAAACACTGAATAAGGAACGTCAAAGTATTTCAAGCAGGCTGGTTCATTGAATTAAATAATGTGGGTCACTGAATTAAATAATGTTTATTAATAACGAAAAAATTAACCACAAAAAATCTTGTTTTTATTGTATATTTCAACGTTTCGAAGCTGTTTGGAGCTGGTTGACGTCCACACATATTTCCATTATTATATACATCGAATCGACAGGGAAGTGAGACAATGGTGGAGATTCAGTTTTATTTTAAATGTCGAGACAAACAACGAGTTTTCTGCGGAATGTTGGTCACTTGGGAGCGATGTTAGTATGATATTCAACATAGGTGTTACCTTTGCTCTATTTTTTTTGTGGGGGCAGGAGCCTAAACCTTCGATGTGTTGATATATCGCCTAAGAAGAAAGAACTTGCTATAAGATTTACCTTTGTTTAAGTGGGAATTATACAATGCCATCAGGTTGAAATAATTTATTAAATTAGCCTTCAGAAACCAAAATGAAAAAAGAATTAACAACAAGATGCATGATATGTATTTACAAGTGCTCAAAAATATAAATAATCCGTATTTCGAGTGGATACATAACACAAAGGAATAATTTCAACGGGTCTCGCCTGAACTTTTAATTCATACGTTTTGTCGCTGTAGAATAGTGCACAATTTGCTGGAAGAAATTTAATACGGGAAAAATATAGGGGGTACAACCCCGATGTGATGATTCAACATCCCTGTGGAGGAGGCGTGGCCCTGTTAGAGGGCCGTAACCCCCCCCTGAGGAGGTGGTTTGAATCCTAGTAGGAGCCTTGACCCCCCTTAAAGGAGGCCGGACCCCTGTGATACAAGCGGAGTACAGTATGTGATCTTGACGGGCGTCTTTTACTTAGCATTTATCGTTCGTCCTTTGTGTCTTGGGCCTGATAGCCCGCCGAGAGTCAAGGTCACAGTTCCCTGAAATCTTCCTGTGGAGCTCAACAGTCACAATCTTCAGTCTACTAATTGTCGCTACTTATTCACAAGTCACTAATAAAAATATATATATATATCTGTAGGGAGGTGGTACTCCCTCCCTATACCTATAAAGTATAAGTCTGTACACACAATTACACAGTCAATCTCTGCCTATTTACAGATAATTGATGTAAATATTTGGTCAAATGTCGTTGTCAGCAGTCTTTTGTCAGCTGGCTGTTTTTTTGTTTTGTTTTGGCTGTAATTCAATGGTCAGTATATAATATGCCGAGATGATTTCAGTGTTCCGTTCAGCATCTGTTGACATCGGTCAATGTCGGTCTGTCAGGCCCATGGCTGTCAGTATAGATGAATCTTTTGTTGATTTCAAGCTGTCGTCAGTCACTATCAGGCAGTATAATGTCAGGGCGGTATAAGGCAGCAGTAACTTAAGAGTCGGGTAGTGCTTTACAAGCTAGAGTAAGTTGTACATGTTTTTGAGTCAGGTCAGTTTGTCATGTAATGTTTAAGTCATTTAATATTAGTATGAGCCTTTGGTCGGTGTAAATGGCTGTATCATAGTCAAGTCAGCGTGAAATAACAACTGGTTACAGTTAATATGAGATATTAGTTACTCAGGTCTGTAAGTTTATATAGAAGAAATCTTTCGTGATTCGTAGGTTTCACGTGTGTCGAGTCAGTGTGACGCGGCGGTGCCAGTTGTTTAGTCAGTGTTAGGTCGAGTTTTTCCAAGTCAGTGGGTATTGAGAGCAAAGCCTGTGAGCTCCAGATTATTCTCTCATTGTCATGTTAGAGAGTCAAACCTGCTCACAGGGGCCTGTACATTGTGTCAGTGTCAGCTATGATGAGCAGTATTAGTGCTTCAGCTTAAACTTCAGTCATGTATTTTACAGTGTCAGTGTCAGTAAATAAAAGGTCAGGGCTGCTAAGTAGTCGGGTGAGGTCATCAAGCGACACTAAATCGGCCAAAATCTTCCCAGTGAATAGTCTGAACCATCAAGGTAAAGGTTTGAGAGTCATTCAAAGTCATAGATGTAAAATGATGTTTATGTAAAACTAAGAAGTCATATTTACAAAGCACAGCGTATTGGTCATCAACGAGCGGTCATCAACTAAAGAGTCATGGGGGTCACAAGCAATGCATAACGTCGCTAGTCTATGGCGGTGGTTCAGTCTCGCTGGTAATGCGGTCATTACAGTCAATAAATTATCTTAAATACAAATCAACAACAGTTTTTAAAAATACAAATTTAAACAAATTACAAACAAATAAGACGGCATCTGATTGACAAGCGAATGGTCGAGGTTAAGACTAAATCACTGTAAAAAAAATGATAACATGTCTCATCCTATGTCTGGGAGGTTGACCTCAAAGGATAGCCTTTCATTTCAGATATTCCTCAGGACGCACTTCGGAGAATTAACGAGAGCACATGAGAAACACTCACTTGGAGCTCCTCCTCGAGGTCATTTGAACCGCATTCGTAAGAAACGCAAGTTTTAAACCTCATTATGAGAATATTTGTCCACTATTTTCTTCACCGAAAAGTCACATGTCGTATACACTTCGCCGCAGTCTTTCTGAAGGCTGCGACCGCGATCCGCCGCGTCGTTGTACTCCTCAATGAGCGCTTTGAACTCGTCGGGGAGGGAGAGGACCTCGGCGTACTGCAGGTAGCTGTGGACGGGAACCAAAGGGGTTGTGTTAAGCACACTCTGTGTATGGGGAGCAGGGAAGGTATAGTAGTTTGTTGGGCAGGTGTAGAGGGTCTTGGGTAGGTGTAGAGGGTCTTGGGTAGGTGTAGAGGGTCTTGGGTAGGTGTAGAGGGTCTTGGGTAGGTGTAGAGGGTCTTGGGTAGGTGTAGAGGGTCGTGGGTATGGACAGGTGTAATGGGTCTTTGGTGTGGGTCTTGGCTGTGGGCAGGAGTGGTTTACCATGGGCGTGATAAACACTTAAATGGTGTTTTCTTGTAATAGTAGTGACTGTTGATGTATACAGTCACGGACTAATTATAATAATTGAAGCTGTATTTGCAATTATAGTTTATCGTTAATTGTACACAGTTTGTGAGTATTCTGCCAATATTTTGCGTCTCAGCACATACTGTGTATTTTTAGAATTCCTCGAAAATCTTATTGACTAGACTTTTTTTTCCAATGTGGAAAGACTGGCGTTGGAGTGAGACGGGAGCACAAGACTCACCTGAACAGGTCAACAAGGCGGGCTGCTGGGGTGCCGAAGCGAGATGTGTTCTGGTGCAGTTCACAGATGAGACGCTTCTGGCACTCAAGGTCAGCTGGGTCGAATTTCCTCCAGGCCTCCTCTCCGATGGCGATCCAGTCCAGGATGGAGAACTTCTCCCAGTCGATGGCGTAAGGATCGAAGGACCTGTAGGAGGGTGGAAGGAGTATAGTAAACCAGCAGCGTCGAGGAGCAGTTGATGAAAACCGGAACTGAAGTTATGTTAACTTTTTCTAATAATTTGAATTTGAAAATTCATCAGCAACAAATGATAGTGAAGTGATAACAAAATTACACAAATGGTGACTGTAATTTACCCTAATTTAAAAAAACGTGTTAAAACAGCAACACATTAGCTAAATCTTCAATCATGCATTTGTGATGGCTGGGGGTAAATGTTAGAACTGTACACTGTACACCTTACCGTCTGTACGAAGAGTACGAGGAGTATCCCCCACTTCCACCATAGCCACTGCCACCATAGCCACTGCCTCCATAACCGGAGCCATAGCCATGTTTCCCGACCACGAGAGCGTATATGAGGAAGCCCAGAGCTGTTAGACCCAAAACTGTGAGGGCCACGGAGGTCAAGACGGAGAGGAGCTGGGCGAGGCTGGTGATGTTGAAGGGTAGTCCCGGCAGGATGCTGGTGTCTGAGGCACCGATGGGAATCACCAGGAGGCGACCCTCGTCGTCAAAAAGACCACCGTCGTCGCCGTAGTCAGCATTGACGGGCGCCGCGGTATGAATGACCACGAACGCCGCCATTAGGCAGCAAGACACTAATGCCGACACCATAGTGAGGAGCTGGAGACTTGACTTTGACAATTTAATTGAACCTTAAGACTTTTTGGAGTTCCAGGAGCAAATTATTCACTAATTATAAGTTGATCAAATTCACTATCACTTAAGTTTGTGTGGGAACTGTGTGAGGGCTTAAAGACCAGGTTGTGATGCGCCATCAATCTGCCGTGTGGCCCTTATATACGGGGCCGGGCAGTGACGTCACAGTGGGCGGGGGCAGTAAGTGGGAAGACCTACTGCGCCAGATACGAAGAAATCGCAAAGTTAAAAAAAAAATAATCCTTCAACCTCACTTGATCAACAATGAAAGGTGTAGAAGTCAGGGTTGATGGGTCGGGAGAAGGGAGGGATGGGCGCCGCCCCTTCCCATCCCCCATACCATCTCCTCTTTCTTCAGTGTACGGAGCGAGTCCGCTACACCTGCCAGGTAGAAAGACCCCAATGCGGGGGGCCACTGCGCCAGTATCAGATCTCGGTGCTTCTTGCTGACGGTGCCAAGGAACCGCTGAGCAAACACCTTCAGGCCGGCCTCAGGAGAGGGACCCCCGACGTCCACCAGCCAACCAGCGCTCGCTACGGGGAGCTGCCGCATCTCCTAACTCAATCACATTCTTTCATTTACTCCAGGACAATTATAACAATTTATATGAGCGAGTTACGTGAGGTCCGGATCATAGCTTTTGTCATACGTGAAAACCACGTAATATTTTCTAGCTTAATAGGAGTAGCCAGCTTAAGCCCCGCCTCCTGGGTGGCACCTAAGATCAACTCCATAGATTGTCAGCGTGACACATTTTCATAAAATTTTTGCATTTCTGTCAGTCTTTCTTGAGAGACAATATTCTTTATATTTATATTTTAAATTGATATGACTAAGAATAAGTGAGAATTCAAAGTATAACCCTAAACTGACATCATAGCAGGAAAGGAAATGCGCTCTCTTGAAATTTGCATACGAGAGTATTTGGTCTCCCGCGGCCCAATTGGGCCCTGTTTATAAGGTCCACTACGGCACGTCTGATTCATTTGGAAGAGCGATGCCGGCCAGGGAGGACGTGAGGTCCCAAGCCTCGGTGAGCTGCCCCGGGTCTTGTTCAAAGTCTAGCCCACAGCTACAGAATATTTGATGATGCAATCAATTAAATCGGATCAAGAGCAAAATAGTGAAGATTGATGACGAATTGGCTATCGCATTCGTTATTTATATTTATATATACGGTGGTTCGATATAGTGGAATTATTTGTAAAGTGAATATTTGTTACTAGCACCGCGAAGATTAAACACTGCTCGATACTTAGTTTATGAAATGGAAATTCTATGCGTTCAAAATAATTGTTGTGTGTATATAGTGGCCACGTTAAGCTGGTCTTCGAGATGTGATCAGAAGTGCTTTGGTGAGTGTGTGTGTGTGTGTGTGTTTGTGTGTGTGTGAAAGTGGGTGTTTGTGTCTGAGCGTTTGTGCGCGTGTGTGTGTGTGTTGGTAAGTGCGTGTGTATTTTTGCTATTTGTGTCTGGAGAATCGACGTGTTAGCTATTAGTATGTATGTGTTGATGTGTGTGTTGGTGAGTGTGTATGTGTGTGTTGAGTGTGAATGTGCATGCTAGTGAGTGTGGCCCTGATGGTGAACGAGTACAACGGCGCGGCTGGGCCGACGAATATAGCTGTGATGGTGAGTATGTGATGGTGATTATGCTAGTATTAATGAATGCTTCAGTGTTGTTGTAATGCGAGGGATGTGATCAAATACCACAGAGTCGCCACCAGTTCTTCAGGGCCTCAAGTGTGTACGAAAAGCACTATCGGGACCCTTATCCTCCTATATAAAGAGTTTTATCACACACAGGAATAAATTTCGTGCTATTCATGCCCGTGCCACCTCTGGGGTGGGGTAATCTTCATCCATCAATCACAGGAATATAACTATTGTCCTCGACAGCTTATATACAGTCCAAGATCTCGCGTACATTTTACGGCACATTTTATCTTGATTATTTTGATTTTTATATAAAATAATCAGATAGTTCTAAGCTCTTTATACATTTAAACTTAACTATCATTTGTTCTATTGTTGTGATTAAGTAAATTAAATACCACTGCACTATAATGTTTCAAAGTTTATATTACCCTCCTGAAAACTTGTTGATGTTTTAAACTGTTAAAAAACTTTTTTATATATGTAAAAATGCCAGTTGATGCTTAAAGCTGTTCTTATGGTCAATGTTTCGTGAGTTCTTTTAAAGAGACAAACAGTTAGCGCTAACGTGTGTTCTGAGGGAGAACTGTTGTTGTTTTAGATTCAGCTACTCTGAACAAAAGTTGCAAGTAGCACGGGCTATGGCGAGCCCGTAGTGGACTTTTCTGATCGGCTTATTCTACACTCGCCTAGATGATCTTGCACGGTTGAGTGCTAGCTGACAAGTCCTGCCTATCCAATTATTTCCAAAAATAATTTGTACAGTGCTCGTCTTCATGGCGTTTTTATAATTTATTGATTTTGACCATAATTCCCTAAGCATTACGTGTCTTTGGCTCAAGCTTAAGTTTCTTCTAGCAACTCTGACTCATTTCTGTCTCCAGCTTGCACCCATACCTGATAGTTCTTGTATTCCTCACTTTTAACACGGCTTCATTATCAATAATGTTCTTTATAATTTTTCTCAATACTTTTTTTATCAATAACTGTTTATTAAATTTTTTGTATATAATTTTTACTTGTTAACGTACCCACATGTTTCATCATTACCACTCTGAGGGTGGGTTCTCTCTCTGCTCTTTAAAGATCATTCCTCTCTGTTTCTTAACAAGATTTATTTGCAAATATCTTAATTTTCCCACTGTTATTCTTCGCTGTTACAGCCGACAATTCAAGGCTGAAGCTGCATACTCGATGTTTTCTTACGTGATCGTGAGGGTTCGACTCCTGGGCCTAAATTGTAAAACCAGTATGGATATAGTGATCGTAAGAAGGTGTAGACCGAGGACCAAGGCATCCTGTTTCCGACAGTTGTAGGGGAAAGTGAGGATAGTGAGAAGTTGTAGGGTCTAAGCAGCCTGGGCTCTCTGACTCTCTCTTGGTGGGATGCTGGAGAAGTGTTCTGGTTTCAGAGAAAATGGGTCCCATATTCCACTCCTGAGATGGGTGACTCTTAAATATATAATACATGAATTTGCACTAAATATGAAATGCTTTCTCTATGGTTATTCATGCATGAGCATTGCTGATAATAACCGTTGTACAGGCTATGTACAAGTAACTTACCTGTTAAAGTATTTACATGTGGTTACCACTGTACCACCGCCGATGACATTTACAATTTAGTTACAAAAGCAAAATATTCGGGCAATTGCGCCGATTGAAATATCTCATCATGGGAGACGAGTGGTTGATGGCGGCGGTGGTGCAGCGGGCGGCCAGAAGCGTGCACGGGGAAAGGGCGAGGTCGTGGTGAGGATGGTACGCACCCACGGTTGCCGCGGCCTGAGTAGCCTGAGCCTGAGTCTGAGCCTGAGCCGTAGCCTGAGTAACCAGAGCCGGTGTCGGCGGGGGCAGTCAGGAGGTAATAAAGGGCAACGGCACCGGCGATGCCCCAGAGCAGGATGCCGGCGGAGAAGAGGAGCAGGGTGGTGTTGAAGGTGACAAAGGAGCCCGTAGAGGAATTGCTAAAGATGAAGAACAGTCTGGGATCAGCTTCTCTGTTAGCTCCAGGCTGGTCCACACTCAGGTCAGCATGTGGGAAAGTGTCCGTTGCAAGGACGCAGGATGAGAGGAGCAGGGCTCCGAGAACATGCAGGAGCGTGCGGTTCATTCTCGCGTCACCCGCAAGTCACTGCACTGCAAAAGGTGCCAAGTTCAATTATTAGGCCAGCTGGTGGTCAGCGCCCGGGGCAACGAGCGAGACGGTAAACTTTTGGCCGTTGCGCAGGCCTCATGTGAATGGCGACCTATTGTGTCCAAAAGTGAGATTAAGAAGAAGGTAAAAAGTGGGCTAGCGCAGTGGTCAGTCATTAGGAGGTCTCGATGCCAAGTAACCTTTTAAAGGGGTCAGGACATGAGGTCCCCCAGAGAACTTTGACCATACATAAGAATGAACCGCAGCGCCTGTGTCCTGCCGGGCCACCGTCGGGATTAGGAAGGTGGTGGTTGTTGGTAGTGGTGAACGGGATGAGGGGGAGCAGGACATCTCTGTTGGGATAGTCGTTGGTACGGTTAGGTTATGGTGATTGTGGTTAAAGGAACTGCCGGGCCATGGGGATAAGATCAGGGTGGATTGGGATAAGGAAGGCACCGCTCTTCTAGCAAAAACCCTGACAAAATTTAAATTACATACGCTTTCGAGCCAGATCTCCTGTTGCTAGAGTACCCGGAGCTGCCGTAATTTTCAAAATCGTCGCCGGTAGCGTAAAAGTAGGCTAGAGCAACGAGGACGCCGAGCACGATGATACTCGTAACGCCGAGGATGAATGTTGTATAACCAACTGTGACAGTGGTTGTATTGGTGGTAACAAAGAAGAGCCTGGCATCAGGACCGTCAGAGGCACCATCGACCACCACCGGGTACTCGTCAAGCGCCTCAGGCGAGAATCCCTTGGTGTAGGAAGCAAGGCTAGCCACCAGGGCCAGGACTACCAGGGTGCGGTTCATTCGGAAGGGTAGAGAGTAACCTGGAAGACCAGGGCACGGACATGGTTTGAACTATCAGCCTATCACAGGTCTATGTGAAAACGGTGAAGGATGAAGAGGTTACAGAGAGTAAGATAACCTGCCATGTGTCAGAATAATAAAAGCCAGTTGTAGCGATGGTATTGGTCACTTGAACAGCTATTTACAAAAGAATTTCGGTATGGATGCGTCTGTGGGGCAGCCGAGGAGTGACTGAGGGTATCAACGTCAGGCCTGAGTGGGGCACGACGACCGGCGCACTGGGCGTGCGCCCGGTCCGGTTAATTATGCCGAATTGAAATTGTCCCTGGGAACGGAATTACTTGGAAGTTTAAGTTGTTGATTAAGACTGAAATGTTGAGAAGGTAGGAAAGAGCAGTGCTCACTGGAGACTTTGGTAAAGGTAGGGTGGGCCTGTTAACAGGTCATCAGGTTAGGGACAAGGTCATCGAGCACGCCAAGTAAACGAGTGAGGTCATTTCAGACGTGAACTACTGCAGTCCCGTCATG